AGCGATAGTTGTAATATCAAATAAAGGGAGCGTGGTGAAAGTGATACCGGTCAAAATGATACATGCTGTCCACATTTGTATGTAACAATAGAGTTGATGCGTGATCATCACACTAGTTCATAACACCCAACAATATAGGCGGAAAGAATGGGGTTGCAGAAGAACTTACAAATGTTTTACGCGACACCTAAGAGTGATATTTTTCAATTGCTATCATGAACTAAAACAACAGCGTTTGGGTAAAACTTAGGGTTTGACATTTTGAATGTGACTGTCTCTGTCGTAAGGATTGCAATCTGGGAGTACAGGTACCTACTCCGAGTTCTGTCTGGAATCAGTCCGTAATGATGTACGCCCAACTTACTTTTTTATTGTGGAATTTGTTCCAACTGTCCACTTTTATGCCCTCATCACTGAGCGCAGATAGCGGAAGATCGATACTCGGTGCAGCTTGACTTATTCCCTTGCTGTAAAGAAGAGTACGCTGATGGATTAGCACTCTGGGCCATATTGAAACATACGTTATAGCCGTAGTGATTGTAGTAGTGTAAACAGTCTTGGGCTGCTTTTTGACCTCCCTCTTCGGTTCCCAGTCGAAGGGATCCGTGAACCTGCTAATGAAATAACATTTGTAAACTTATGTTCTACATTCGAACCCTAAAATTGCATGTGTCAAACATGCAATCCTATTGATTGATCAAGCACTATCTGAGAACGCTTATCGAATTTTGAAATTTTAGGCATGAGAAAGGCCTCGAGGGGAGAGGTTACTGAGAAAGCATGAGTGTTGGCGCGAGTAAGGCGCATTGAGCTCGCACCGCGTCTAAAGGAGAGCTCTCTCGAATAGAAAATAAAGGTGAGAATTCCTGCAAACCTTCACCAACAAATTCGAGCAGGCGTTATAATTCATCGGTTTCCAGCGTGTGAAGGCAATACGAAAAGGAGAAGGCTGGTTTCCCACCAGTTTTGCAACACTCCTACTTCCGAGCAAGGGCTTGACTATGTTCAAAGATATGAGTGTCGTTTTGGAGTGAGTGCTAGCTTAGGATAGC